AGGAGACTGGATCCTGTAGGTCCCGTTGGGCACCCTGGCTGGGGACCCTGAGATCAGGGTCACCGATGAGCAGCCAAAAGATAGCAACCAAACCAGCGCACGAAAGTGCATGGTTAATGGTTGTACAAAGTGAGCTGAACTGATGGTTAGAGCCATCGATATGGCTGGATGTTGCAAACGGTGGCGCTCATGCACCTGCTCACTATTCTTGCAACCTCAGTCTCTATGAATTCTTTTTCTTTCGCTTGAATTGGCCTTCAACAAAACGATGTTCATCCTGCTGTTTTACCCAAATAGGTGCCCAAAAGGCAGCAACGAAAACCGACGCACGAAAGTGCATGGTTGATGGCTGTTAAAACTGAAACTGAAACCTTCTGACCTGACGCACTGGATGTCAAATGCGGACTGCACGGCAGCAGTGTGCTAATGCATGATTATCGACGATTCCTTAGGAGCTCATTCATCATTCGGTAATTTAGCAACTCAGGCTTCCTTGATAGCCATTGGAACAGGTAGTATATCTCATCCACCCATTCGGGAGTAGCTGTCCTCACATGGCGCACATTGGCTTTGATGCAACTACTCACTACCCACACTATACACCATCAGCTTTTAATGCTCTTAGTTAAGTTTTTACTAGAGAACAGTAACAGCGAGGGGTAGAAGTATACAGATTAGTGTTAGTACGAACAATGAACTGTGTATACAATTTTTTTATCGGGCGAGACTAACTTGGTAACCCGAGAAGTGTTTTCTAAACCGCAGTATGTGGAGATATGGGCTCGCGGAGTTTAATTTACAAGTGCTTGTTACTGTGGATGGCCAAAGCCGCCGTATATTACAGGATTTTTGTGCTATCGAGGATTTGAATCTTTTATGTTTAGTCGATGACGTAACAGGCTCGAATTTGTCTTTCATCGCGTTAAACCGCACCTGTGTTTTCGGATTGTTGGTGACCTAACCCTCTCTCTGTTCTGCCCTTGTAAATGGCTGATCATTCATACTGAATTGATAAATGCAGTTCGATTTGGCTGAGGGGCAGTGGTTCTTTTACTTAAGACGCTAGTTTTCGGTCGTTAGTGACAATGAAGTGGTCGACTGCACAGTAGACATGTTTGACGGCATAGTTCAAGCAATCAACTGACGTCATCACCTTTGTATTGTAGCTTAAGGGAAGCTTTCGTTTTTTTGGGGAGGGGGCATTCATTGACTTCTGTTTTAAGTTGTGCTTTATTTGCAACCTTAGTCCATTGAAATTCTCCGTTTTCTATTCGACTCTCCTTTCAACTTTCCTGTCCTACTGTTCATCCAAACGGGCAGCCAAAAAGCGGCAACCGAAACCGGCTCACGGAAGTGCATGGTTAATGGTTATACAAACTGAAACTTGCTTTAGATTATGTAGCTATGAATGCGACCGGACGTCAATTTGCTTGCAGTATTTTTTTAAAGATATCTCCTGTATATGTGCACACTGCAATCAAGGTTATTTTTATGGTTAGTGAAATAAACAATGGCAAACAATCAACACATTCGTGGTTGTAAAGGCTTAGCGTTGCCTTTTTTGACCCCCAACGGCTTTCGCTTCCTTGTGTTGTGTTGTCCGTTGTAATCTACAATCTTTTTTTCATCTTTTTTATATCACCTTGACTACAGTATGCCTGTGTAAATATACAGTGATCCGATTTGTTTGAAACTCGTGAGTATTGGCTACTTCTAAACGTTGGAAACTGATTTATGAATTCACAGTATAGTACGATATGGGCGCCTGTCTCATCGATTGGGTGGCGGTGATCGAGCGGTTTGAGTCGCTACCACTATCTACTTGGCTTTACGTACTTAACGGCGGCTAGCTCCCAGGAGAGGATAAGTCGGCTTCATGGATATCCAGATTCACAGCTGCCCACGCTCAGCGGTGGGCGACAAGATCTGTGCAGATTTTGATCCAATTTGACTTCTTGTCAGAAGCTTAGCCTTCCCCTGAGAATCCTCACGGTATGATTCCGAAATGGATTGGAACCAGTCGCCACCGTGCGATAGTGCCGACGTTTTCTCGGAGGTACTAGGTGCGTGGGCGTCAAGGTAACGGACAGTACGGTCACCTAATTTGTGCATTCCCTCTATCTATAGATAACACTCGTTTCTCCTTTAATGTTTGGCACGTTTGGCTGGCGCTACCAATAAAATCTTGCACTGTTTGGAACTATCTTTTAACTGTTATCGTTGTGATACGCATCGTGGGACCAGGATCGGCAATAGCTTTAGCGTGAAACAACGCTTTCATTGGCGATTGCCGTAGACGAAGCGGAGACCAAGGTTTTCTGCCTTCTTGTCTCCGAAACACGCAAACAAAACCCTTTTCAGTCATCTCCCTTCGTTCTTCGGACCCAATCTCATCCTTGTGTTCAGTCTCTATCCAATTTTTTAGCTGTTCACCACGTCGACAGAACATATTTGGTCAGGGAGACGGTGCCATGGTAGCGTTGATCAGGTCCTTGCCAGATCTACGAAGTATGTGACCAAACCATAGTGGTTGTCGCCGCTGTATTAGCTCCTCAGCCGTATAACCGGTTTCCGACCGCTTCATTTGATAGCTGATCCCTCCATCTTACTCCCAGAATGATCCTTAAACACCAGCGATCGAAGACTTCTAGTAGTCAACTCTAAGTGGCCAGTTTTCGCAGCCACAAAGCAAGACAGGACGGACTACTGCCACAAAACTTATATTTTGTCTTCATACTGATTCCATTTCTACGTCAAAGGGACTTCAGCTTTAGAAAAGCCTTTCTCGCAGCATCGACGCGCACTTGTACCTCATCTTTAGCTTGGCCGTTGGGCAGTGTGGTCGAGCCCACGTATTTAAAGCTTTCGACGCATTCTATCTTCGCGTTGTTTGGTTGTAAACCACCTTCGGGATAAATAGGGACTATCGTAAACGCTTTGGTTTTTGATGTGTTCACCTGTATGCCGCTCTTGGAGGCTTGTCGGAGAGACTGCGCTAGATGGACAGAATGACGTTTTTCCTGCCCGATGTTGATCAGATAAGTTGGAAGAGGGTCGCCGTGTTGCCCAGGTTGGCTTCTGTCCCTATTGCTATTACCATTTCAATAGTTGCATCTATCATTTCTGGCTGATCGTCTTGCTTGTCGTCTGAGATCGCGGAAAGCAGAGAATTGGAGCTAGGCGTGTCTCAGGCCGCATTAGCAAACTGGATGGTGTGATCGGATCTCCAATTATTCAGGCAACCTGACTCAGTGGCTTGTTTTTGCAGAGCTGCTTGTTGTACCGATGACTTCACTCTGATCCACTGACTTTCAACCGATCTCTGTGCTTCCTTGAGTACCGAGGGGATCGTCCGACATTTTTGCAGTTATCATACCCATCAGTGCTATTCGCTCTTCTCCAGCGTAAGCACAGGCGTTTCGAGGGGACGTTTTTCCTTTCGAGTGGTTAGATGAAGTCTAAATTTCGTGCTGATGAGAAGGTATTCAAATTTGTGTGCTGTTTGTTCGTCGTTGGACTACCACGTCAGAAGATGCTTCTTTGGATGTGGAAACCGCGGGTCGGTGATAAATAGTCCATTTTGATCGACGAAACCGAGTAATCTGTTACCATTAGCTCATCACTGATCCAGGTCAAACCTTCCTACGATTTGTTTTGTGGCTTATTGAGTGCCGGTTCGAGTGTTCCAGTCCCTAGCTATGACAAGTACGTCCCTTTTAGGTACTTCATTAATAAGTAACTGAAGGCTGCTACGAAACTCACCTTTGACATCGCTGTGGCCCTCTTGGGAAGTAGGGGAGGGGGGGAGAGCTTATGCACCATTGACGGTTTGTAGCTGAATAGGGGTCCATGTATCTCTGGTGAGCACCGAGTCGTCACTACTACCAGCGTGCTTTAAACCATGAAGATCGTAGTCCGAATCGTACCATCGTAAACCAACGTTTGGTAGTCGATGGCTTCGTAGTCCAGTCCAGTGGTCTAGTCGCTGTCACCGGCTTGCTTTGGACCCTGTGGTCTGATGTTAGATTCCCGTCACCTCCACTAACTTTAGTGGTGAGTGGCTTTACTGTCGCCCGGTTCTATACCACGCCTGACCTAGCGGGGCCATCAGTGGTTCGCCACTTTAAGTCCCTGAACAGTAGGTCTTCGTGACTATGGAGTCCGCCCCGTTTGTGTAATCAAAAAAATAAAAAAAACGGCCTTTAATCGTGGATCCTTGTGCGGATCACTACGTTAAGACAGTCTGGTTTGCCGATTGTCATAATTGAACGGTAGATCTGCGGAACTGTGCGGTTTATCTCTTCTCTTGTTCGTCCAACAATGGTTTGTAACTAAAAAGTTCTATATCTACTTACGCATGCTTGAAATCTACTCTTCACCGTAAGTATATCGGTCTGTATACCTTCCCATCTAGGCGTGGGCAAATCATGCCTCTTGCTCCAATTCACCGACAAACGATTTCAACCGGTGCATGATTTAACAATCGGTGTTGAATTCGGTGCCCGCATGATCAATATCGGAGGCAAACAGATCAAATTACAAATTTGGGATACGGTAAGTAAATGTTTCTGTTTCAGTTCCGCTTATCATTCTTCCCTTTTGTATGAACACGCATTGCCAACAAACTGGCTGGTGCACGTATTGCATCCTAGTGTGTCGCGTCCTATTGATAGGATGCTCGTTGCGATGTAAGCGTAATTTAAACCAGTTTGAGGGTAACCGATACATCAGTGAGATAGTGTTTGGTGGGCACAGGAAACTACTTCTAAAGGGCGGAGGGAATTTACTTCCTGATCCAACAGCCACAAAGGAAATTTATCCATCCAGTAGAAGTGCATGGATTCCAGGGTTTTCTCAACAGTCCATTAGTGAATGACCTCTTGGTGAGCCACGGGCCTCAGCACATGTTGCCTTG